TCCAGAAATATAAAAGCCTAAGTCTTTGCAAAAGAATCTTGGTTAATCTATGACATCATTTCAAAGAGGTTCTATTCAGAGCAGTTCTTTGGATGTTGAGTGTCTTGTATCTGCTATTGGAATCTGTTCTCATTCACCAACCCCTCCAAGGAGAATTTATCTCACTTCCTGATGCTGTAGTTGATAATTATTTCTCTATTCACTAAAATGTATGCCTCAGGCTTTCAGAGCATACTAGGACACCAGTTAACCAAATAATGAGTTGGTAAATAAAATAGCCTAAAGTCATTCTCTCTACAAGTATCTTTTAGTTATTTTGCTTTCCTTTGAATGTGGCAATTCTACCATTAATGAGATGAATAGAAAAGATTAATGAAATTAATAAAACTCTTATCAACACAGAATAATGTTCTTTGCCTTTGAATCTCTACTCTGTAACTTACTCTACACCAACTTTTCATTTATTTGTGTGTGTATACTTGTGATACATATGTGTGTTGCGTGTAAGTATATGTGATATATATGTGTGTATTTCACTTAATTTTGCTATACTAACCAACTACTTCTTTTGTTCCAAGAACTATGAACAAAGAATCAAAAGTCTTGTGTAAGAGACAGGCCACAAGGGATAATTATAGTATACTATGATGAATATATAGTAGAGCAAACGTTTATAGTAAATATTTTAGACATTGTGGGCCATCTGGTCTCTGTTGCAACTCTACAACTCTGCCACATGAAAGAAGCCCATAGACAATATACAAACAAGTGGGTATGGCTGTGTTCCAATAAAGCTTTATTTATGTAATCATAGTTGGCCAAATTTAGTTCACTGATCATAGTTTGCCAACCACTGTACTAGAGTAAGAACATCACTTTTCAACAATTGTTTATTGAATATTTAGTTTATTCTTTTTCTGTTCTAGGTACCAAGGTAGAGTAGTAACCCAAATATGTGAAAATCCCTTCATTTGTGGAATTTGCATTCCCCTGGAAGAGACCAATAATAAGGAAAATAAACCAAAAACCAAGCTAGTGATAAATTCTAAAAAGAAAACTCAAACAAGAACAAAACCAGGAAAGCTCAAGAGAGTGTGTGAAATTTTATAGAGGGCCACCAAAGAAGATCTCACCCGAAGGTGTCTTTGAAAAGCTACCAGAAAAAAAAAAAGTGTATAAGGTGACCATGCATAATGGAGGAAAGCCTTCCAGAGGAGAGAAAGTCACCTGAAAGATCCTGCACAAGTAGTGGAACCAGCAAGGAGAAAAGACAGGGAAAAAGGCAATGTGACTGTGATTTAATTGGGTGATGGGTACAGAAAGAAATGAAGCCACTAATGTGACAGTGTGAGATCAGGGAGGTCCCATAGAGCAAAGTGGCATTGTTCCTTAGCCTTGACTTCTTGTGAGCTGAGGAACTACTGTAAAAGGACCACATGATCTAAATTATGATCTCAGGATTACTCTTCTGTACTAAAAAAAATTGACCTTGGGTAGAAGAAAGAGCAGAACAAAAATCAAGGGACCAGTTTGGAAGTCTTTGTAACAACTGAAGTGAAACATGAAATGGTCAGGAACTGAGAGTTAGTACCAAGTAGATGAGAAATAATACAAATGCAATTGAAAGGTCATATTCCAGGACAAGGGAACTTCCCCAGGAATGAGGAAGTGGTACTCATAAAAAGTCAAGCCTAGTTATTCAAGTGTTGTGCTTGAGAAATCAGGTCCACAGCCATTAGACAAAGTCCTAGAAGAGAAGGGCAAGAAAGTATGCAGCTCAGAAAAACCAATTGGTCAGCAGCTTCCTCCAGGGAGAGGTACTGAGATAAAACAGCCTTAGAAAGAGCCCTGGAGAAAAAAAACAACTCTGTATTTCACCCCGCCACCTAGTCTATACCTCTGATATGATTAGAACAAAGGTCTGGATTAGTGAAAAACAAGAGTTAAATTTTCGCGGTGGGGGTTCACTAAGGTAAGGTACAGACAAGGTTTCTAGAGAGAAACCAGAAAGAAGGAAAACATAAGTATGCAGCTGACTTTCAGATTCCTTGTGCTTAAATTCTAGGAAGAGATCTTGAAATGACATCAGATCAGCTGAGAGAGAAGGGCAACTGGCCAAAGGACCAGAGTTACAACCCAACTCCTAGGAAAACACCCAACTACCTTGAACGACTGGATGCGGTTGGAGACTAGGGTCTCTCAACATTTTTCCTAAGAGGAAATATTTGTAGCCCAGACAGACCACATGGCTCATTCACAAGTCTGTATATTGAGCCAAGAAACAACCACAAAGGGAGAAAAACAGTCTCTCTTCGCACACCTGGAGAGAAAATGCACTTAGCCAGGTGAAGAGAAAACTGGATTTTATTTACTCTAAGACACTATTTATGGCAACTGTGGAAAATTCGCCTGTAGGAGAGTAAACAGGAGAGGCTTCTGTTTCTAGGTAAATTGCTCAAGCTTATCTTTGTTTTCTCTAATTCCCATCAGGTGACATGAGGAGGAGAAAGTGAGACATCCCTTTAGTTTGTGCAGTTCAACGTGGTGAAGTGGAAAGACTGAGGGATTTTTCTATTCAGTTTTAAAACCTTCCCTCCATTTCTTCTCTCCCTGCCCTCTTCTACCCCCTTACACTTATTTTCCCCTGGCTTTTTTTTTTTTTTTTTTTTTTTTTTTTTGGCTTCAGGGAACTTTGAATCTTGACTTCAAAAGAAACCTATAATGAAGCCTGGCTGATGTTTAACAGACCCATCACTGCAGGAGCCCAGCTCCACCATTCCTTTGGCTCTAAAGCTACACTGTGTGGGTGAGCAAATCCCAGTGAAGTCCCAGCATACAAGCTAGGGAAGCACCAGTTTCTCCAGCCATTCACTTTGATACCATATGCATTAGCACCCCTGACCCAAAATGCACCATTCCCATTGTACAAAGCACATACCTCATGCACTTTGCCATCACCCGGAGGTCACCTCTCAACCCACATTCTACCATTCCATGTACAGTCCTCTACCCTTGAATAAAACTCAGGGAATGGAGCAGGGAGCAGGGTTGTGAGCACAAGAGACATTTTCCTGCCACAAGATTCAGAACACAATTGGCCAGTCTCCTGCTGCCTGCTTCCTAGCAAGGTCTAACACTAAATGATCAAATGTTTGCTTCAATGGGACTCCACCATTTGATTCTATTTGATGGTTACTCTCCTCAACAACAGTATTAAGAATCTGAGACACAGAATCTAGAAAGGAAGCAAGCACACAGTTCCACACTGGGCTGAATACTTAATCCAACTCTTGAGAAAAGAAGCAAATCAGATGAAAAGCAGGTACAGAAGCAGAGAAATGTTAGAAGGGAAAATTATAAAAAACAATGACCAACAGGAACTGAAAAGTCCAGGGAAGCAAAGTTTACATGTGGGCACAGGGATGTCCTTGGCTTAGCTACCTAAGTAAATGGTCAGTGATGTTTGTGATTGTACTGACATGGACACCTTCTTCTCTCCTGTACTTCTTGAGGACTCCCTAAAGACAACCACTAAGCAGAAGTGGATATCTGGCTTATGCAGCCTGCTCTAGTCACAAGCCAAGTTCCTCTATCTCAGTAATTCTGATCCACTGGCTGGGTCATGTATCTATAACTCATATCTCCTTTGACCAGCCCCAAGCCTTATAAACGCTTTCCCTTTGATAGCTGCATCTGGGCTACAGATGTTTGATGCTGGATTCCGTGGGCTCTCTCCTCTTCCCAGAGTCTTGGAGAAAGGAACTCCTTTGGCCTACATTTATGATTTCTCAATGGGAGTGGTGGGAAAGTTGAATGGGATTTGGAAAGCAGGAACAATCATCAAACATCAATCATCAATTACTAATGACTGTTGCTCTGTAATCTATCTATAGGTCTGAGCCCATTCTCCCAATACCCCTCCCCCAACTGTGAATTCTTGAGTAAATGGACTCTGTGCCTGGCATTCTCGTTTATTCAATAAGTGTCTGGCAAAGCATTTGTTGAAGTTGGATCCTTTAAGAGTCACAAAATAATGGGACTGTGAGATTGAGCACTGTGATTTAATTGCAATAATAAGAGTGTTATACATGGCTAATTTAGTTCCGAAGTGGCCACTCACTTTACCAACTCCAAGAACCTCATAGAAACCCAGAGATCAGGTCTCTTATGAATCCAAAGTTCTTTTAAATAATCCAAGCCATGCCACAGAAAGGCACTTCATAGTTCCGTTTTTCAGGCTTCAGCATGTATTTAAATACAGAGAATTTAGATAAAAATTTAACTCCTCCAGTAAATTACTCCCTGTTATGCATTCCTGTATTTGTTCCTCTACTTACATTGATGTATCTGACATATGATAAGGACTTGATAAAAGACAGTGTCAACAATAAAAATAATTCAATGTTCTGATAATAAAAATTCACCACAAAGAACATAAGACTGAAGATAAAGAAAAATTTCATATATAGAATAAGTATGAGAGAATTGAAAGAGAGAAAAACCCTACCTCTCACTATTTCAAAAATGGAAATTTGGGAACAATTAAACATAGAGATTTTAAAGTGTGTTCCTTACTGTGTGAATAAGCACTAGACATGTGAAACAAATAGCCAGCATGAAAAAGAGAGACAAGAAAAAATGTAATCTTATTTTACAAAACAAAACCAGCTTTAAATACAAATGGTTGGCTAAAAGAGATAGTGCAGGGATTAACAGCACATACTGCTTTTCCAGTAGACCCAAGTTTGGTTCCCAGCACTCATACTGGGAAGTTCACAACTGCTTCTAACTCTAGCTCCAGGAGATCCAATGCCTCTAGCCTCCACAAATACTTGCACATATATGCACGTGCTCATACCCATATACAGACAAACAGATACACACAATGCAAAATTTAAAATAATAAAACCAAATATTTAAACAACTACATAAACTTGTATTAAAATTAGATTTTAAAATTTATCTTTAAAAATTTAAGCTGTCAAAATAAATAGAAGATAATTGCTTCTCTGTCTTTGAGCTACAATCAAGTGTAACATATGATCTTAACATGACAGTATCTGATGGGTCCTCTAGTGTAGGACAACATAGTAAATAGACTTTGGGAACTAGGAGATGGACTAGGAGCTTGCTGCATTCAATACTCTCATCAGCCTGGTATTGCAATACCTCCAGAACAGTGCAAAATTAAAGAAATACAGCCAACAAAACCCCCAAATAACAAAAAGAACATACAAGAAAGGAAAATTCAAGAAATAGATCAGAAGATCCATAACCAGGTGTCGGGGGGGGGGGGGAATAGAACAGAGAAGTATCAAAGTAATCATTTAAAAATTTTTCCATATATAAAAAGAATACATATTCAAAGTTAAAGAACCATCTAGGTGCTCCAAAAATAAAATAAAAGCAGTAAGAAGCTGTCTATGGAGAAGATTGCTAGAAGAGAGGTAAATTAATTGACTCTGGTGGCCTGTTCTGTCTAACATGTGGAGAAGAATGGAGAGCGTTAGGAGACTGTTGTTCCTCATTGGGTACAATTTGATATTTGAATGTGACGATTTAGGGTTTGGGAGACAGCTCAGTCAATGAAGAGTTTTTATTGCAAGCCCGAGGATTGGAGTTCAATCTCCAGAGCCCATGTTTCAAAAAAACAACAACTAAGCCTATTGGTGCATGCATGTAACCTGAGAGCCGAGGTGTGGAAAAAGAAGGATCCCAGGGCTCACTGGACAGACACCCAAATCTATCCAGGCCAATGAGAGTCTATGTCTCAAGAAAAGGATTGACTGTACCTGAAAATAATCTAAGGTTGTCCTGTGGCTTCCCAATGCATGCATGTACCTGAACATATGTACATTCACACGAACACGTGTATGCACATGCACACACACAGTGATTTAAACATTTTTAACAATCAAAAATGTTCAAATAATTGGGAGTTTTGCTTAGTGGTAAGGCTTATGCTTAGCATGATCAAGGCACTAGATTAATGCTAGTACTCCTAAGAGTATAATTATCTCCTTTATTTATATAATGCAAATACTGTATGTGGGCATCACAGGTCTGATTAATAAAAGGAATGAGATGTGTTTCCATAGCAACTCTGAGACAGTGAGAGGAATAAGTTATAAAGACTCAGATATGGGTAATATAGCCAAAATTCAAAGAGCTAAAGGACCATTCTGAAGATAATGTTGCCTAGGCACCTTGAAACACTGTTACTGTGACTTAGATGAGGATCCCTAGTATGGTTTGAGTCTGACATGTCATCTCCCAAAGACTCATATGTTAAAACTAGTTACTGAGAGAACTTTCAGAAGTGATGGATCATGAGAGGAGAGCCCTGAGCTCATGAGGATTAATCTACTGATAGAATCCTCATTTGATGTCATTATTGGGAGGTAGTGGAGACTTAGAAGGTGGGGTTTACTGAGGGGGTGAGTTACCAGCAAGCTCATGCTGTTAAAGAGCCTATCTTGTCTCCTAGGGCTTCCCAGCCTTTTTCTGGTCACGTTCTGTGGAGCTGAGCTCCCACAAAACACTGGAGGACACGCACAGGGCAGTGGAGGCATAGAGGAGCTCAAGAACTCTTACCAGAGGAGCCCATGGAATCCCTAAGAAGAAACACAGGATTCCTCAGAAAGGGAAATATTTCTCAGTCCTCTAGCTCTTTGGAAAAGCCACTGTGAGAGCTATACCTTATTAGGCATTTTCAGGTCTTTAATTACCTCACATACCTAGTTCTTCCCAAAAGCCCAGTAAAGCCTAAGAGGGAAGAACATTTTATTTGGGGGCTGTGTTAGAAATGCAGGGTGTAAGAAGAGCACTCCAGATCCCAGTTCCTTACCTCTTGGGTGAGTCGGGGTCAAAGCAAGTCTTGCGGACATCAGTCACTGCAGGATCACAGCAGTCACCGTCATCAAAATCATTCAGCATGTTGTTGCACTCCACGTGACAGAGGCCATCCCTGCGATTCCAGGAGTAGCAGCGGCCCTGGAGGCGGCAATCGCCCCCATCATAGCCAGTGAGAGGATGCTCACACTCAGGGTCACAGTGGTCATTGCCAATCTTGCTGGGCTCACAATTAACGAGCACAACCCGGTGGCGCAGGGTGGAGTTGTGGACCGGATGGACACTAAGCTGCCAGCTGATATTGTAGCGGCTGAAGGCCTTATTCAGTGCGTCGTGCTGCCGGCGGATTTGCTCATCACTCACAATGGGATGCAGTCCCTCATCATCACAGATCTTTACCACCTGGTAGCGGATCACTTTCTCCCCCCGAAGGGGCCCATGCTCATTGTACTGGGAGATCAGTTCCACATTGTCACAAGCTGTTTGCCCACAAAGTGGGGGCTGCAAAGGTGACCGAATCTCAGGCTGTGAGTCAGAGTCCTGGAGAACCTCCAGCCGGGGATATGTCTCATCTCTAAAGGGGGCCCACTGTTCCTTGAGAGGGTCGAAAGTGGCTGTCAGGATCAAGGTGGACAGCTCATCTGCTCGACTTGGATGCTGGGAACTATGTTGAAGGTGTGCTTGTGAGAGAGCAGTCGACCAGATGACCAGCGTGCCCAGATATCCACGGAAATAATGCCCATCCTCGGAGCTGTCCCCTCCCAGGAGTAGGGAGCGGCAGGATGACATAAAAGGGCTATTCAGTGGACCAGATTGGTCAGGACTACTAGCCACTCGAGTGCCATCCACATACAAAGCTATATGCTGTCCATCATAAGTGGCTGCCACATGAGCCCATGTGCCTGGCTGGTAGCGGCTGTGGCCAGTCACAGTAGTGGCCTTCTTCACCCGGTCAGTACGGAGAGAAAAGAAGAAGCGAGCATCTCTCCTCCCCTTCTCCTTCCCCGAGCGGATCCCCAGGGCCCAGCCCTTGTCATTGGCTGTGTGGGAGCAGTTATCAAACACACCTGGGAAAGAAGGAAGAGTTGAAGGGAGAAAGACCAGATACAAAGAGAGTGGAGAAAGGGAGAGGAAAGACTGTGTAAATAACAAGAATGTAGGTTTTCAGTTCCCCACATTGCCTGCCTGTCCATACTCCCATATGAGATATCCTGACAGTATCTATCCAACCTCCCCCCCCCCCCCCCCCCCCCCCCCCCCCCACACCCCCCCCACCCCATTTAGCTCGTTCTAATATTTTAAAATAACCAAGGTAGAAGCCAGGAAGTAGACATTCAACACAAATGATGATTATCCTTTGATGTAAATAACCTTCATCCTTCATGCTCATGGATTCTGAGTACCCCCTTCCCTAGACTGACACAGAGATCAGCCATAGCTTCATTTTTTCCCATTGAACATTGAAATGGTGTTTCTCATGAAATAAGGAGCTTGTAACATCCAATACCACTCCTAGCCCACTGCTCGTCTAGTACAACCATCAGCAACTGAGAGCAGCTGTTTCCCAGACAATACAAAATAACATTGGTCCCATGGGCCTAACCTCAAAATTGAGAAAGTCAGTTATAAGAATGGCCATTTTCTATCCAGTGATTCCTATCACAGAATGAAAACAGGACTTTCCAAGTAAATGAGATCCTTGCACACATTGCCCCACTACCTGGCTCAGAACAAGCACTAGACCAATAAATCAATTTGAATAAATAATATCAGTAATACCTCTGGATACTACATCTGAAAATAGCAAGAAGCATGTTGGGGACATAGTGAAAGAAGCACTGATGGAAAGGAACCCTCAGGCAGAGGGGAGGACTTGACAGTCCCAACACTACACTTTGGTTAATTCACCAACTCTTGCTGAGTAGCTTCTCACATTCACTCTAAAACAGCAGTCCTCAAACTGTGGATCAGGACCACTTTGGCAAACTTCTAATTTCAAAAATATTTACATTACAATTCATAATAGTTACAAAATTATACTTACAAAGAACACCAAAAATAATTTTATGGTCAGGATCACCACAACATGAGGCACTGTGTTAAACCATCACAGTGTTAGGAAAGTTGAGGACCACTGTGCTAAGGAGCATCTTTATTGGTAATTATGTGAAAGCATTACACTTCCATGGAAACACTCGGTATGATAGGTGTTCTGCATTGATGACTGATTGATTGGAGTCTTGGGAGGTAGTGCCTGGGAATAAAATAAGAATTTTTCTCCCCTGGACAGTTAGACAATCATTTTATCTATCCCATAAATTCCTGTGTAATCTATGCCAACGGTATTTGCTTATGGGTGGTATAGATTTATTAGCAAAAGTTTTCTCATTTTTTCTCTTTTTTTATTAATTCCTTGAGAATTTTGTACAAGATCTCTTTTATCATATTCATCCCTTCTTCCAGATCCTCCCAGAAAACCCCTTCTGCATCTGCCTAACTTTGTATCCTCATTTAAAAAAAAAAAAACAATCTAATATGGGAGAGCATGCTTTCTTTAAGGCGTCCATTCTCTTGGCAAGTGAATAACTATATTCTCATAAATGGCAAAATATTTTCCCTTGTCTCTGACATAAATAGCTTGAAATTTAATGGGCAAATTTATTTTAATCAATACAATGGCCTTGTCAACTGAATAATTAAACTTTGAAGAAGAATAATTATATAGTAATTATAATATAATATAACATAATAAAGAATAATAAACTTTGGAGAATGGGTAATGACTACAGTGCAATTCCTATTTGGAAGTATTGTTTTTTGTTTTCTTTTTGTGTTGTTTTCTGCTTTTTTTTCTGTTGTTGTTTTTCTATTAAAAGAGTTTAAGGGCGGCTTCTTAAAAATCCTTGTGTTGGGTGGAGTTTCATAAAGAAGACAAACCTACTATAATCAATACTAAGTTCCCTGCTTCATATTTTCTTCTAGCTTCACATTTGGAAAAGTACAGTATTATGTTAATTATTTCCAGCCTCTGACCTGTGAACAAAAGTGCCACAATATTTAATATGAGTACCATGGAGTCACTGATAACTCAGCTATATGCTGATTTTAAAAGAAGAATTTGAAAGTCTATTATAAATGGCTGCAAGCACAGGTATGTATATATGAACCATAGATATTTTTGAAAACTTGCATTTACTGCCATTAGAACCCTATTTGATCAACAGTACAGTAATTATTTCTGCTTAGTTGCCTCACAGGAAGCTATAAAGTTTTCAAGTTACTAATTTTCAGTGTTTGCTAATTGCTGTAGTGTAAATTATAGCCATGGTGCTAATTTT